AGTACGGAACCGAACGGAACCGAACCGACCCGAACCGAACCGAACGGAACCGAACCCGAACGGTTCCATAATTATATTTGGACCCGACGGGTCCATTTATTAAATACCCGAAAGTTTTGGGTCGGTTCGGGTATCTTCAGAACCGAACCGAACCGACCCACGGACAGCCCTAGGCGCGATCACATTTTCTAGGATGTCGGTACAACTTGATGACGTCGAACAATGTGGAGTCTCTGAATTTATTGTTCAAGAAGGATCGAGAGTTGCTAATTCTCGCAATGATTGAGAACATCCGTACGAAGCTGCAGCAGTGGTTTCACGATCGACGTGCGAAATCATAGAACTGCTCGAGCTAGCTAGCCCCGGCTTAAGAGGATAAATTGTACAAGGCCGCAGGGGTTGTGAGGAGGTTGATTGTGGAACCATTGGACGAGTCGCCCTTCTCCGTACAATGTGCACGTCATCGGCATACATGGTGGACTTGACTGACAACACATGCACTTGTACTCGATTTCAGTTGGAGAGTTTTCCATATGAGCATGCAGTCGCGGTATCTATGAACAGAGATTTTCCAGCGAGAACATTATGCTCTCATTATTACATGGCTGATTATTGGAGAGCTACATATGCTGAGACTATATTTCCATTACCGAACGAATTTGATTGGGAAGTTCCTAACCATATTCTCCCACTTAATAGTTTGTCACCACCGATAGTTGAACCGATTGGCCTGGGTGTCCACGAACTTCTGGAATACCATCTGCTAGAGAGTTTTCTCGACTGCGTAAGTGCGGCAGGTGTAGAGTAGTCGATCATACTCGTCAAATTTGTACAATTAGTCGAGTATGTAATGATATTGCTATTAAATGAACAATATTTGGATAATCATTTTAGCATAACTTTATTTGCTAATTTGATAAAATAAAATATTTAATTTTCATAATTACCAAATCAAAATTGTTTATTTAATTATATAAATTATATAAATCATAAAGAATTAAATGAACACAATTAAATGTACAATATTACAAAATAAATTATACAATTTTT